GGAACAATCCGCCACTCTGGGAAATGCATCAATCACAGACACCTTGTCCCACCCTGACAGCTCGGCTCAGAGACAACAGGATCTGTGTGTCCCCGTAAGAACACACTTGAACCTGAGCTATATACCGTAGGCAATTAAGATTAGGAACTGAATACATGACAGCAGTAATACATGCATGAATGGCTGTCAGGCTTTACTCTGTCTGACAATTTCGACAAATGAAGTGGGCATAGCTGTCAGAGCAAAGCCTGAGCAGAGACAGGTGTTAGGACCCACAAATGCAAGAGTAGAACACTGAAGTAATAATGTAAATGAATAAGTCTGTTTACAAGATAAAAACTGCTAATTGATAAAGCAGAGAGATGCCTTGCAACATGCTGTAAGATGCAAATGAAACCATCAATTGACAAAGCATTAAAATACAACTGAACACAATCCATATGAAGTGACATTTATATACTTGATAGTAAGCCTCAAAATGATCACATAGGTTTCATTTTAAAGAGCTATGTCATTGAGTTTACACATGAAGGCAGTTCATCACATGTACAGCACACAACCTGTAGATAAAATAGTATAATCTTATCTGTGGTACTGAAGGCAGGTTTTTATTAATTGTCACAAGCTAGGTGCATGGGATTTGCATGGTGTTGCTGTTTAAGAGGCAGGGAAGGTCTAACGCCATCTTCAGATTGTATGGGATAAAAGGAAGACATGTCAGCAAAATGCAAACCTTCATATCATTGGATAATGATGACTGAAGATTGTTGTATGATTGAGTTCGTTTGTCAGGGTTAGGATGAAGTGCACTGGTGATATAGTGTAGGTATATCCTAAGATTTACTCTAATATGATCAGTGGTTGCAATGTTAGCTAATATTACCAAGGTTTAGACCAGTGGTCACTAGTTCAGTAGTTTTTCTTCAAGTGCCAGGTAGTGAATTCTCATTTTTAAAAGATTGAAACCACAACTAGAACAGCAAAACCTAACATATTGCGCAAAAAGGTGGAGATGTTCTTGATTTCCCAGTCACCAGTGAGGTAGATGACTCAGGGGGGTTGTAGCTGACGGGGAGTCCTGGCTGACATTCAAACTAATTTCATGGATGTTGTATATTTTAATAAATATACAATGGGGGCAGGGGGCATACTGATAAAAACTAGAGAATTCAAAATTGAGTGTTGCGTGGGTCATCTTTTAGATCTAAGATGCTGTGACTTGGTTTGACTTCAATTAAATCCTGGGGGAGGCTTCCTAGTCAATCTGTAATCTTTATCAAGGCGCTGCCTCTCAGATCTCTATCTCTCTCTGTGACCCATGGGAAATGGAGACTACTTTCATGACAATGATTTGGACTCTGTTATTTTTGGCTTGCTCCTCGCTCTCCTCTGCAACAATGCTGTGACTCTATTGACAACCTCAACCTTGAGCTCCAGTCCCAACTCTCTTGGTTTATATTTTCAAACCAAGCCAGAAAAGAGGTTGAATTTGTTTTTCGCTGCAGGAAATGAGTCAGTCATTCCTTTTATTCACCTGGGAAATTTAGGAGCTCTGCACCTGATCATTCATGACTTAAAAGACAAATATTTTAGCTCCCGAAATATCAAGTTTTTCTGTTGAGCAATGAAATGATTCACATGCTCTAGCCATTTAAAAAGAAGCCAAAGAAAAATGTACCTAATACACAAATGCGTGCACACAGACACACAAACCTGCTATTGGAGCAGCTGCTACAGAACAGACTCAATCCTCACCATCTCCCTTAATCTCTGGCTCTCCTCCCTCACTGGAAACTGTCCTCTGATGGTTAATTACAGGCTTTGATCTGGGTTTGTTCCATCTGCATGATATTTCACGTACTGTAATTGTGCTGAATATTCACAGGGCTTTGCAGCTGAGTCCTAGCTCTGCCAACCTGCATGAAGTGTCTTCATTTATGTGCACAGGCTGTCTGCGTTTAGGGCTGAGGAGATGTGTTGACTTTAAATTGCATCAGGAGATACTGGATACTGTGAAATGCACCAAACAGTGCTTGGATAGCAGATCTGGAAGGAGGATGAGAAAATGTCCTCCTATGGACTTTCAGAAAATTAAATCCATTATTGCAAAATCAATTCCTTAAAATTCTCCCTCAACACTGAAACCATGCATTTACTTGGCACATGAGATGAATGATGTTTCCAAATCCCTTAGCCTACAGTACAGGTACAGTATATCTAGTTTAATCACTGGTGTATACTGCCTATGCGTGTGTTTTTTAAGCTTTAGCATACAGCAGTTACCTGTACAACGGGGGTTGTGGCTGAAAGGTTGCCAGTTCAAGGCCCCTAACAGGGTATTTTGCAAATTCACACACTTTTTAGCTGAGGGACGGTGGCTCCTCTCTACGAAATGCTTTGTACGTAGTTTGGCACATGATGGATTTCAGAGCGGTGCTTTTTCCATCTCCTGACTGCAGAGATTGCCTGGGGATGCTGGCGGGTCCCTGACAAGCAGGGCCTCCTCCATGCCTCACCTTGATCAACATTCAGTGTTGCCCCCTGAATCCATCACGGCCTGTGACAACATGCTCCATTTTGGGTTTTTTTATATCATAGTGGCTGCTGCAGGTAGCTGCTGCGGGTGGTAATAATGAGGATTATGATGTAGTGGTGGTCTCGAAAATAGATAGAGAACCTTTTATTGAAGTTTGATGTATACAGTATTTTTGATTAATAATAAATAGATAGACTGATCATTTAAGTCGGTGTCAGGGCTGTGGGAGGGTGAATAATCTACTATACGAGACCAGGCATGCATGTCCTGAAGCAACCACAACCGCTAGCTGAACCTTTTTTTTGTAAATTTCCAGCTCTGAGGATGAATCATGAAGAGGAAATCTCATGTCCTTCCTGTGTCCTGCTGGAACCATAAAGTGCATTTAAATATAAAACCATAATACAGCAAATGGAAACAGCCATGGTTACTTGCATGCAGTAGTAGGACTATCCCCAGCTTGTGATTCTATTTTATTACATGCATTCAAGTCACAGAGATAATCTATTAACCTGCGGAACTGAGACTTGCAGAATGTTTTAACCCTGTACCATTGTTTCATAAGACTCAATCAAATTCTGAGGGTAGGCTGTTCTGTCAATGCTACATCAAAAATAATTTGGTGCTGTCTGGGAAAATCATCCTTTTAATTGGTTTCTTGGATAAGTCTATACTTCTCATATATAATAAAAAATAAAATGACTGTGTTTTTGT